GTGAGATGTTATATTGCGAAAAGGGGGACTTTGTAGTAACCACATTCTCTGCGCGTTGCTTCTTTCTTTGATTCTTTCCATTGGGTCATTTCTTGACAGTTTACGCTTCACTGGAATACTTCTCTTCTGGACTGATTAGGATGTAATCCTCAAGTTTGTGCTCCTACCGGGGCCTGATCCAAGCGAGACAGGTCGGTTTATACCCTCTCGATTAGCCGTAAAAAGTGCATGATCGGTTTTCGTTTGCCTCAAGAATCCTCCCGTTCGAATTTATTGTGCCACTTGCTCCTAAATCTCTACACTGGAGTCACTGAGAAGGCACAACAGTTTCTAAAAGAGCATATTTTTCGGTAGTGGCTCCTCTCCGAAGACATAACTGATGGAGCTCCGTAGCAGAGGGTTGGGAAGATCGTATTTTCCTGCACAGAGGCAAGAAATTTTCGCTATAACTGTGCATATTGGCAATGGTTTTCGTATTTACCATTTCCGATGCCTCCAGCCTAATTTCTCTTGCTAACCAGTTAACAAAACAGAATTTCATTCCCTTACTAATCATGCTTATGCGGTTTACTTTTCTTTTTCAGAAGGTAACTGAAAGGGCAAACAAATATTTCATGGTTCAAATGATTTTTCGTAGTTTTAAAATGTCGTGGAACTTTGTGTCGTTTGTAAAACGCGAATTTTGACTTAAAATTTATGCATTTAGGCGAGCTTTCCTACTGATCGCTAATTTTATTTGCTGCGCTTTGAAACAGAAGTCATTTGTTTGTTGTCAGTAACGACTTGGAAAGTAGTTTATACCTATCCCAAGTTCTGGTCTTCTGCGCAATACCCAAAGATTCGAGTAGTTCCGAGTTCTGTTGCAGAAAAGTTTAGTTATGCCTGTCGGGTGGGCAGATTCGAAAAACGAACGCTACTTTTTTGCGCATTTACTTAAAAAATCATGATTTCGGTAGTGCAAAATGTACAAAAACAAATAGGAACTATGAAAAAATTTGAAGTTTTATTGAAGAAACTTGCCTTCTTGGCCGGCGCTATATATAGCTGACATAATCAAAATTGATCATGCAGCTGAAGAATAATGAAAAAAATTTTAACGTTAATCAAGCGAATCACTGGTGGCTTGCCACCGTTTCTAGTGGGTTCGAGTGAAAATTGCCTCTTCCATGTCGTTATTTCAAACAAATGGCAAAAAAGCATGCAGTGGTTTTTAGCTACGCACATTTTGCACTATGTTTGCTAATTTTTGCAGTCGTAGTATACAGGGATTGTTGCTGGAAGCCACAAGAGGTCTGTGATTTGGGCAAAGGTTGTAAGAAAGGGGAATAGTTTGGACTGAGCAATGGGAAAAAATAAGGAGAAATTTCTTGTATGGGGATGCTATAGTGCT